CCTTAACTTAAGGTATAGGGAGGAAATGCAGAATTGCGGCACAAATCTAAACGGCTCGACCTAGGCTCGTGATAGTCGGTGCATAGCATCATGGTAGGAAAAGCCACCACTGTGCCAAGATTGGAGGTCACAGGTCAAAGGTCAATGGGGCACAGGGCAGATTTTAGACATTTTCTGAGGACATGGTTTGCCGGAGCGATTGAAAAACTTTTTTGTTTCAGCTGTAACCTAGCATTTTTATGGCTTTATTAAAAGGACCATGAAATTTACTTTCTGCTGACATGCAAAGAGTAAGTGTCGGATAACCTTTTGACCCTCAAGAGGAGGGTTAAACATGGATTTGTTTACTGTTAGAAAGAATTTGACTGCCGGGTTTGCTACTGCTAGTAGAATCTATACATGCCTGGATGTATGAGGCTACAATGTCACAGTGAAATTTCAAAAGCTAAATTTGGTTGAAGAAGGTTTATGCTCCTTAAAAATCGTATAATTTTTATGGCATTCTGTACTGTCAGTGTGTTACATGTAACTTATGCCACTGCCAGTGCATGTAGTGGTGATAGTACTGTGTAGTTTTTGCCTGCGTTAATTAGTAACAGGTGGCAGCTCTCTATTTTAGCCTGTAGGCTTGCGTAGGTAAATGGATGAGTGCTTACCTATTCTGTCTTGCAAATAGTTGTTGCTACTACGTAAGATGGGAGCTTCCATCTTTAATCCTAAGACACTTAAACGTTCGCGCCATCTCGTGGCAACTTTCATAACGATCCCAACAAACATTCCTTTGAGAAGGCTCCTGATACCATCCCTGTGCCTTCCACTGTTTCGGCACGTATGTGAACACATATGGGACTAACAGGGTTTACTAGAATTCCACCACTCCACCACAGAGTCACCGCAGTAGACGTTAGATGAGCGCTGTCGCTCCGCGGCACTTGTTTACATTGTGAGCCGAGAAATATCTGGCAATTGTGGGCGCAGCCATATTGGATCATAACATACAAACAAAATGGCTGCCTGCTGCAAGAAAAGAAAAGCCTTACTATTTTCATGAATCACAGGTTGGCAGGTCTGCTAATTGCTAGGTATCGTATGGCAGTGCGATCTTTGTCTCCCCAGACATATCCTGTCCACCCCCAACTTCCTGATCGTCCCCCCTCTCACGCTGCTTTGTCTCTGCCCTCATCTTCCTCATCAAATAAAACATTCAATTCTGCTTGATTGTTGCAGGTGAAAAAGGGAAAACTGAGCATTGATCCAACAGACTCGCTCACTCCTGGTGTGGTATACATAGGCCATTTACCGCATGGATTTTTCGAGCCGCAATTAAAAAGATACTTCACTCAGTTTGGCAAAGTCACAAGACTTCGTCTGTCACGAAGTAACAAGGTAAAAACGATGTACCAAAAAACGATCCCAAGAGACTGATATGTACATGTTCATGCAGTTTTTATGCCAATTTATTATTCATACTTTAATATCATGCAATTAAAGCCTCTTCCAAGGGGAAAAATTGAAACGGGGTGGCACAAGGAGTCATGATACCAGGTTTATGGCCTTGGTTATCATTTGTTTCAAAACTGTTATCTTAATGTATTATGTTTATGTGACGTGATTTATTTTTCACGGACAATGATATGGTATGCAATGTATTTCAATTCGAAAATTATGTTGTATATTTTAGACTGGAAACAGCAAGGGATATGCCTACGTGGAATTTGAGTGTGATTCTGTGGCTAAAATAGTGGCAGACTCTATGAATAACTACTTAATGTTTGACAGGCTTCTGAAATGTAAGTGTTTCGTGTAAATATACTTAAAGCCATAGATTGGTAAATTGCACAGAATAATGTCACACATTACTAATGTAGTGCCATGGTGTGTGCATGGTGTTTCAGTACATGACACTGCAGAAGTGCTACTGGGATCAACTCCCGTGTGTCTCGATATATTTGTCAGGTCAGTACGTGCCACCAGAGAACTTGCACCGGAACCTATGGATTGGAGCATCAAAGGTGTTCAAAAAACCAAAAGCGGCATTAATAGCGATCGAACGACACAACAAAGCAAAGGATCCTGTCAAAGAGAGATTGAGGCTCCTCAAACAACAGTATCGCCGCCAGAAGAAGCTAAAGAGTGTTGGCATTGATTATAGCTTCGATTTTGGGGTATGATTTCTTCGTATTTTAGTACATTTTTTTGGAATTCTGTAAGTCGTGTAGAAATGACACCAACGAATGGTAGTGTCAATGTTGTGTGTAGTGAGCAGGCAAAAAACCAGGCCTAAACATTTTATTCATACATAAAAGACACGTCTTGTAAGTTTCCTCGCAATATGAAATGTGGCAAACCTTTTAGTATTAAAGAAACGTTATTTTTTTAATGTAATAATATAGCAATATTCTTGTTCAAATAATAGAACAATGTCGCACGGACGGAAAAGTCTGGGAATGAGTCTGAGAAAAGAAGGGCTGCGAAGAAATCTGTGATTCCAGTCGTGGTCGACGAAGGAGACATGTTGATACTCGAGGACCATCCGAGCGATGCCGAGATCGACTTCAAGACTCCGCCGAACGTTGTTAAAATGTCGCGCTTAAACGCAGAGGTTCCGCGAGCTTCGACCAATCGCACGCCAGATTCTAGCACAAGGTCGCGTATGTTGTCGCTTCGCGACGCAGGCGCATCGATCGCTCGGCAACGCTCAGAGCGTCAGAAAACGCCGACAACTAAAGTACCGCAGATTAAGAAAATGCTCTCTAAGAGTGCGAAAGTGCCGGCAAAAACGACGATCAAGAAGTCGAGACGCAGCATGTAATCCTTTGATCTGCTTTGTAAATTAAGCACGGTGTCACATACGTATTATTTTTACAGGCATATAGACAGACAGGTGATATCCATTAAAATTACGGAAATTACAGATGAATGCTTTTATTATAAAATGGATGTATTGGAATGCAATGTTTGTATTGGTTATTTGAATATTACTCTGATGTCAGATTAAAAGATAATATCCTATTGATTATTTCATATTTTGTTTGCATAATTGTCTTGTAAATGGATATCTGCTCTTGTTCAATTGAATGACGAAATTAAAAGTTTTAACTAACTCCATTTAAAAATAGTAATACGGATACTTTTATCAGGTTAGCAGTATAATTCCAAACTTCCTATTTCGCTGCTTCTTTCCATCTGGTCTTTCTCGATCTCTTCTAATGGTATATTAACACTAATATTTTGACTGATGATTCCTTAAGTGTAACTGCTATAAATTGTGTTGTAACCGGAGATGTTCTATAATGTACACATGCAGTGAGTTATAGAAGTTTGGTTATATCGAATACATGTGCATTTTACCATAGAATTGTGTATTTTTTCAATGCGTAAACTGACTACGATTATAACTAGATGGCGCCACGTACTTGGTGTTAAGTTTATTGTTGAATGTTCTTATGCTGTCATGGCGCTCCCCACCATGAACTCAAAGAAGTATTTACACTCGAAGTCGAAATTCAAAGTTCACTTTAATCAACAATTGTTGCATGGTGATCGATTATGTTGTCGGTAAGATTATTTCGTCGTATAGATCACTCCTAAATTGATAGCTGCTGCCTAGCAAACTACAAATATAGTATAGCGATAACTTTACAAAGCAATTTCTCTCCGAGATTGCACTGCGCAATTTGTTCGCGATGTTAGCGACAGTGTTAACATACGTTAGCCTTTACATGCCATTAGTATAGAAATTATAATTATAATCACAAGTTCGGCACGCGCGATAGATTGTGTATTTGTGATGTGTACTGACATGTACACCGATGGTAGGCATCTGTGGCTATGCAGAGACCTGCCAGGCTGCCACCCGGATCAATAAGTCTATCACTATCGGTATCATTTAATTTCGTTGTGGATCAATGACATTATAAGAGATTATCATCTCTAATAACATAAAATCTCTCGTCTTCTCTCATAAGATTTTCTCTGTCTCAGCACTACTTGACGTCGCAGCGAATGGATTGACGTTAGCGCGTCGGTAACGGCTACGATGCTGACGCTTCTCGGACTGACCGCGTGGCTGTCGCGGCCGGCGCCCGCGCACCGGACGCGCTCAGGGATCCCGCTGCCGCCGCTCCTCCACGCGACGATCCCGGACGAGGCGCTGCGCGGCAAGCGGCTCTACGTCGTCGGCGACGTGCACGGCTGCTACACGGAGCTCCGCTCGCTGCTCGCCGCGATCTGCGCCGACGACGACGAATCGGTCGTCGTCGTGCTCGCTGGCGACCTCGTCAACAAGGGACCGCGCAGCGTCGACGTGATCCGGCTCGCGCGCGCGTACGGCACGCGCTGCTACGCCGTGCGCGGCAACCACGACGAGGCGGGCCTGCGCGAGTGGTTCCGGCTGCGCGCGGACGCGGGCTACCTCCTCTCGCCGAAGTACGCGTGGGTGAGCGAGATGACGGAGGCCGACGCCGACTACCTGCTCGCGTTGCCGTACACGCTCTCCGTGCCGTCGCGCGGCACGCTCATCGTGCACGGCGGCCTCATCCCGCGGCGGCCGCTCGCTGATCAGAGCCCCGCCGACATGACGACGATGCGCAACCTGATTGTGCGTGACCACTTCGGACACGCGTTCGCGCCGACGGAGCACATCGAGCGCGGCGTGCCGTGGGCGTCGCTCTGGCCGGGCCCCGAGCACGTGCTCTTCGGGCACGACGCGCGCCGCCGCCTGCAGACGTACGCGCACGCGACGGGTCTCGACACGGGCTGCGTGTACGGCGGGCAGCTGACGGCGCTGCTGCTGCGGGAGGACGGCGGCCGCGAGTATGTGCAGGTGCCGAGCAGGACGGCGACGGCCGTGAAGAACTGTAAGCACAAAACGCTGCCCGACGCGCACTGCTGATCGCCGCACGGCCGTTAGCGCTCGTCGCCATTTTTCTCTGCAAGGTTTCCGCGCAGCAAAGACTCGGCTGGCGTTCCTGGTGGTTGCTCAACTTTAGATGGTCGCTGCGAGGCAGCAGTGAGATTGTTCTGTTTGCGATTGTGTCGTTGTGGTACCTGTGGTTCCTTAAACGCTCACCTACTATATGAATGCTAGTGACAACAAAAGCGTATTAGCTAGAGCCATGTACATAGCCACTAACGTAAAATGTATGCTAGGAGGGTCAAACTGACTTTTGATCCCCCTTACAGACTGAAAATTTGATAGCACATCAAACTAGTCCGGGCCTGGCGCGCGTCAAATTTTTGCAGTGTGTACGAGCTATCCCGCTCCAAGTATGCACTGGTCGACTCCAATTTGGCCCTGCAAATGAAGGAGGGCCAAGCCTGCTTTGAAGCAGGCTAAGTTGGAGTGTACCAAGTTGGCACGCTTTCAACGTGTGTGTACGCAATGTGGTGCCAGGCGCGCGTCAGATTTCACAATATGCATGCGCATAGCATTATTTAGGTCACATAAAAGTACAGCAGCTGTCTGTTGAGTGACGTAACAAGCTAAACTGCACATGCACAGTCAATCCTTGCCAACCTGGCATTAGGGTGCAAAATCAACATGAGTCTGGAGTCAAATACTCCCTGATTTACTGTCGGACTCCCTGATTTGACATATGCAGGAGTCCGTGTGGCTCCCTGAAAATTCTGCTATACTAACTAGTTCATTCCAGAGCACGGCCTTGCGCATTTTTTCAGCAAATCTTTAATTTTGAACTTTGGACTCAGTCTTTTTGAGGGCAGGGAGTCTGTTGGACTCCCTTGCCTTGTTCAAAAGTTAATTTCTACCCCTGTGGTGTGCTTCAGACGTTTGTGTCTGTATGCTACAATTTGACGCACGCTAAGCGCGTGCCAGGCCGGGACTAGTTTGATGCGGGATCAAATTTTGCAGTCTGTACGGGGTATTAGTTTCTGGTTTGATGTTGTTTGCAGTATTTGTAAGGTAAATAATCGTATTTTATTGTGCATGTTTGTCTGAGTGCATGGAATATCTTGGAACAGGTTTGTGTGATAGGGACAAACTTGTAGGTTCTTGCCCAACAACTTATTAGTACTAATACTATAGTTGTATTATACAGCCATACAGTAGCGTTTTGCATATGCTGTTTTTTTAAACGTATGTAAATACTAAAAATAGCTCTCACGATGGTATGCAGTTTTTTTTTTTAACTGGACATGGTGCCAGTTGTCTCTAGTGAAGGTTTGGAGACTCGTAGTAGCATACATTTAGCTACACGCACCCATACCGCACACCCGGTTACTGTAATTTTTTTATTGCAAAAAGCGAACGTTCTGCCATGAAACCTAAGCGTATGATATGTGTTACCATGAACATATCAGGAGCGAATAAAAAACAAACTTTTTTTATTTTCGCCTGAATAAATGTATAGCCTACATAAGCTACTAGGCTATACATAATTGTTCGTGATATCACTCTAGGGGCATGGAATTCTGCTGCTGTCAGAAGTTGGCTGGGCAAAGTACAAAGTAAGTTATTAGAGGTGTATTGTATATATACTGTAATACATATATATAGCACGGCACATTGTATAGACGCTTGTGGATAGATTGTACTGTATACTGTCGTCACGAGCCTATACTTAAGGCTGCAGTTACAAAACAGCATTTCACGAGTGATGGACACTGCGTGGAATCTATTTTTGTGACCCTCATTTTCATGGCCAGAGTCGGGCATGTGTAGTAACAGTCGACAGGCCCATATACTGTGTGAGTGTGTGGTGTCTGACACGGCCTTCACACGTAGGATATTTTCAGCACAGACATGTACACGTACACGTACACTGACGCACCCACACGCACATAGACACCTACCCACCCACTGACGCACCCACACACACATAGACACCTACCCACCCACTGACGCACCCACACACACACACACATTGACACCCACCCACCCACTGACGCACCCACACGCACATAGACACCCACCCACCCACTGACGCACGCACACACACATAGACGCCCACCCACCCACTGACGCACCCACACACACACACACATTCACACCCACCCACCACTGACGCACCCACCACCATTGACACCAGTCCAGCCACTGACGCACCACACGCACATAGAACACACGCACCCACGCCCCTGACGCACGCACCGACACACATAGAGACTACAGGGCCGATGACGAGACACAACGCCACATAGAATCCGCACCGCACAGCACTGCACGCACCCAATCGCAATAGACGCCCACCCACGCCCTGGGCACGGACATGGAAAACCTAGACACTCCCTCCCCTCACTCACTGACTGGAACGGCACGACCACATAGAACCCCACCTACCGCACTGGCGCACGCCAGACGCACATATGACCCCCCCCGCCTCCATGCGGCAGCGGCACACACACGACATTAGACACCACCACCGCACTGACGCAGCAGCCAGGACCGCACATGACGCACCACCACCTGCGCCGCACACAACATAGACACCTACCCACCACTGAGCACGCAGCACGACATAGACACCACGCCACCCACTGACGCACCCACACGCTAAATAGACGCCAGCGCACACCCCGTGGCGCACGGCACAACACATAGCCACCACTCACCCACTCACTGCGAAGCACTCACGCAGCGCACGACCATAGAACCTTACTACCACTGACGGCAGCTCAGGTCACAACGCACATAGAACGCCCACCCAGAGCGCCTGGCCACGCACACACCATAAGAACAGCCACACCCACCCACTGACGAACGAACACACACTGGCTTGCCCTGCGCTAGGATTTTGTACTGGATCAGTTGCTGCGCTGGGCAGAAACAGTCAGTTCAAAATGCATTCATGGTCTGGTAATGGAAATACGGCTCGTATGTACCAGGAGCTTAAGTAAAACATATGGTGTCGGCGGTTGATACATATAATCAAAAGGTATAAAGAAATTCTAGTCTGCTCGCAGAATCATACTCTGTTAGTGGACTCTTGCTAGAATTGCTGAGGCAGTGCTAGGTAGAACGGTGAAGAGTCTGTCAATTATTGAGATAGCGTCTTCTGATGTGTGTGCGGGGAAATCTTGTGAGAAATGAAACGTTCCTCTCCCCTTGCTCTTCAATTAGGAAATGTACGAATATATCGCCACTAACATCTAGACTATATTGTGTGTGCGTGGGCGTGCGTGGCGTGTGTGTAATAATGTATATGATATATGTAAGTGTATATGTATATATTATTACAATGTTAATACAGTTCTCATTACTACAGTGTTCAAACAGTAATTTATTGTCGGCAGGAATTGTTGTTCTTCTTCTGAGAAGGTGTGTCTTATTCGCCAAAGGTTGGCAGGAGGTGTATGTTTTCACGGCGTGTGTTTGTTGTTTGAATGTTTGTTTGTGTGGTTTGTGTACAGGGACCTAACTGGAAAAAGTTATGGACGGATTTTTCATAAAATTTTCAGGATAGGTCATGAAATGGCTAACTTCGAAGTGATTACTTTGATGGTGATCGCGGAATCCAATTAATTAATTAAATAAAATTTTCACAGTGCAGAGAATTCAGTGCTTGGGAGGTCTGCGCTCTCCGAGTGCTCTAGTTTTCAAATAGAGATATGATGCGCTAGTTCTTAGGATAATAAGATTGACTGGTGTCGACATTTGTTAGCCTATTACGCAATAGGATAGCCATGGCAAATTACGTTCAGCGTGAATATGGCGAGCAGATATAACGGGCTGTGACTTGTGTCTTAAACATACCAAAGCTGCCGTGTATATCGTTGTTATCGATTTTGCAATCGGTTTGAAGTGAATATGTTACATAGCAGGTTAGAAGCCAGCTTGTGTGTAAATGTTCACGTCGTAGATGGTATTAGTATAGTCACTGGTTAGTTCTAGTATGCCGCAGTCAATGTATCGCGGGCTATAGTATAAGAGCTAGTCACGGTGATACTGTTATGCAAGCATGCGTCGGCAGGTAATAAACGCACAGTGAGTGCTGATCGATTTATGTGCTGTAGATAGAGCGTGTATAGTTTTATAGAGAAGTTAATCGTTCTGCGTTCACCCACGGGCCGTATATTTGGCGTGAATTAGCAGCGAGAAGCTTGGATGGATAAGCGCGTGTTCGACGTTGGTCTAGACTCTAGAGGTGACGCATATCACGAATGAGCCATACCGGTAGTGTGTGTGTGATGTGTGTGTGCGTTCGTGCGTGCGTGGTGCGTGCGTGCGTGCGTGCGTGGTGTGTGTGCGCGCGCGCGTGCGTGTAGAAGGCGAGAGCGCATGCTGCGGCTGTTTGATGATATGGAGCTATCTTAAATTGCATTACGTTGTTTGCATGCGCTAATCTGGAAACAAATCGTGTGGTCGTATCGCAGATTAACATTTCGTTGAAACGCAGAATAAATGTGTGAAAGAGTGATTAGAAAGAAAGAAAGGGAGAGAGAGCGCGCGCGCGTGAGAGAGCAAGAGAGAGAGAGATAGTGCGTGTGTTGTGTGTGTGTGTGTGTGTGTGTGTGTGTGTTGTGTGGTGTGTGTGTGTGGTGCGTGTGTGTGTGTGTGTGTGTGCCGTGCGTGCGTGCGTGCGTGCCGTGGCCGGCGTGTGTGTGTTGTAGAGTGTGAGAGAGAGGAAGAGAGAGAGAGAGAAATAGAGGCGAGAAAGAAAGGAAAGGCGGGAGACATGGTTAGTATTATTATTTTTACGTCAAAATATTATGGGTTTGTGATTCGGAGATCAGATTTCGTGTGAAATGTTGAAGACGAACGAGGCAGCGCATCGATCTGACGTCGTAGAGATGCGATATATATGTGTTTTAATATCTTCATTCACAGACGTGTGCCAGCCTGTCTGTGCGGCGTGTCTAGAGCGCATCATGAGCTTCATCGACGCCATAGTCGTTGGATGATTAAAACAGACGGTGGCTGATGCTGAGGCGTGA